GTGGCGCTAGCTCCACAAGAGGAGGGTGGGAGATCTCCCTGGGCTCCTCTCTGCCAGATAAGGCGCTGGGGTCAGTGGGAGAGACTGAGAGGCTGCGTGGAGGCTGGGGCGCAGCCCAGAGCACCTCGTGGCTTCCCGCAGGTTCTTTCCCCGATGGGGCAGCCCATCAAGAGCTGTTCAGGGGGCTCTGGGCCCCGGGGAGGAAGGCTTTCCAGGGTTTCCAGTGCTGGGGATAGAACACCATCCAATGAGCCAGACACAAATCCTGACTCTGCCACTTCGAGGCCCTGCAAACCTTGACTTCCTAGAGCCTCCGTTTCCTCCCCTATAAAATGGGGATGACTAATGCTGCTTGGTGTGGTCGTGAAGGTGACATGGCTCATGGACAGAAAGGCTTCCCAAGTCTCCAGGTGTCCAGACGTGCCCAAGGGCTGCCTGGGGGACCCTCTGAGCACACAGCTTGCCTCCGCCTTAGGAAAAAGCCCTGGACTATCCTGACCAGGCGCCCTCTTGCTGCAGCTGCCCAGTGGTTCCTTCTAGGACCCCAAGGGGACTTTAAGTCACCCTTTGGAGGCTGTTTTGGCGATAAGCCTGGGGAGAGGGTACTATGGGCCTGAGGCTGAACCCAAGCCAGGGCTGGCCTCTTCCCAGGCCCCACCCCCTCCACCTCAGCCTTGTAGGACTGAAGCCTGGGCCTGGAGAGCCACGTAGAACAAGGGGGCTGAGAAGGGGGGGGCAGTGTCTCCCAGCCAGGCCCCGCCTGCCCCTCAATGTCCCAGCCATGCTCTAGCCTTCTCCTCTCCGCCTCAGCTGTACCAAGGGGAGTGCTTCGATTTTTCCACCAGAAGAGCCAAGAGCAAATGGGAAACAAATCCAGCCTGGTCCCCCTGCCTGACCCGTGGGGGATGGAGGGAGGCAGGGAGAAAGCCCCCAGCCCCTTCCCTACCGCCACTCCTATCTCCCCACCCAGGACACTGGGCTGCTCCAGGATCCTGGGGCCAAAGGCCTAACTAAGGAGGGGAGGAGAGAGGTGGGGAGGGACCCTCACTTCCCCACACCCACCATGAGGCAGAAAGTTGGGCTCACACTCTCGCTGCCCCCCCTCCCCGCCCTGGAAAAGAATGAGAAAAGAGGCCACCTCTTCACTTCCCATTCTGAGGTTGTACATTGGGACAAGTATCAGAGGGGAAGGGACAGTTACTGCTCTCAGGTGCTCCCTGTCTAGACAAAGAGATGGGACTTCCAAGCGCCCTTTCCAATTAATAACCTCCCCCAGGCTCTTCTCCTCATTGAGCTCCCTCCTGCCCCCAAGCTCCCCTCCCTCCCTGACACCCCCCTCACTGAGTCGCTCTCCCCCCACTGCATCCTGTTCCCTCTCCCCCCTTCCCCCACCCTGGGCTACCCTTCTCTGCAGGGAGCTTACCTCAGCCACTCCAGGAAACAGCAGCCCCACAGAGACGCACAGAGATGCAGGCAGGGTCCCAGCCAAAGTCCTGGACACCTGGGAGGCCTGAGCCTTTCCTCTCCTCACCCTATGAGGTGGTCCCCTCTCCTGGCCAAAGCCCGCCTCCCTGGGGCTCAGGGCCCCGCACTCCTGCCCCCACTCTCCTCCCAGGTTCTCCGGGTGCTGCCCACATCTCCCACTGGACGGGCTTCCTTCCCATCTGCCCACAGACACAGGCTAGTGTCTCTCACCACCCTGCGCTCCTGAACCCTCACATCACCTTCCTGGCCCTCTCCTCCCTTGTCAGCACACTTCTTATAAGGGCTGTCTCAGTGGCTAGTGAGCTCACTCCTCAACCTGCTCCAATCTGGCTTACCTTTGGGAACCTGGAAGGGACTCTGTCTGCAGAAGGAAATGAAGTTCTCTGTGGAAGAAGATGACATCAACTGGAGCCCCTACAACCTGTCACACACAACGTCCACCTTTCGATAAAAGACTACCAGGCCGCTGTCTTCCTCCTCCTCCTTCTCCTTGCCCTCCTCTTTCTTTTCCTCTTCCCTTCGGTTCCCTTCCCTTCAAGAACAATTCCATCCAGAAGACTTTAGATAGGCCAAGCAAGGTAGATGTCCCTGGGCATGGGAGTGGGGATGGGGAATGCAGTGGTCCAACAATGGTTTTAGAGCTCAAGTGAAGTAAGGAGGGCTTCTCTGCTTGGGGGGACAGCCAGAGCAGGACCAGCAGTGAGGCAGGGGAGAGAGAGAGAAAGAGAGAGAGAGAGAAAAAGAAGAGAGTCAAAGCTCAATCATGCAAGCAGATAGCCTCACCCAGATGTCAGAGCTCAAGCAGAAAAAGGAAGGCATCCAAGGAGGAAGGCAACCTGGAGTGAGATGTTAAAGCCCAAACAAGATAAGGAAGATATCCACGTGGGGGCCAGCTCTGTGAGGGAGATTGGTTGGACCCTGAAGGGGCATTCGACCAAGGTAGTGGCCAAGCACCGAGAAGGGGAGTCCACAGGGGATGAGAAGGGCATCCCTGAAAAGGGGGGGGCAGGGCATCCAAAGGGTGTGGGATGTCAGAGCCTGTTGAGGTGAAGAGCACGTCCATGTGGGGGAGAGGGTGGTGGTGGTGGCCTGGGGCAGAGTGTTGGAGCCCAGGAGGGCTCAGGAGGGGTCCGCATAAGGAGCAGGAGCAATGGGCCATTGGTTACCCATAGTGGGACCAATCCAATAAGGAAATCTATTGAGGGAATGAGCCATGTTTCTCAACGTTGGCAAAGGATGTTAGAAATATAGGAAGGGAGAAAACTAGAATGAACCCTACGATGTAATGTAGAATGATGTAAGTGTGTATATAGGTGTTTATGTTGTGTGTATGTGTCAAAGCATGTATATTTATGTATATACATGCATATATTTCCTAGCTTCTTCACCCACTGAGAGGGCTTGGGAGCAGTGACATCTTAATAATAATGAGCATAGCTAGCACCTGAGTCTTAATTTCTTTCCTTTTTTTTAACTGAAGTATCGTTGACACACAAAGTTAACATTAGTTTCAGGTGTACAACACAGTGATTCAACAACTCTATACATTATGCTATGCTCGAGTCTTGATTTCTAAATACCACTGTCCACCAGAAGAAACCAGGACTCCTTTCAGGAAATGGCTGATTACAGGGCTGGGGCAAGGAAAGTACAAGACAGCCTGAATCATCTTGTGCCAGAAAACAAAGAAGTACTCAGAAATGATTAAATAGAGTTACCATATGACCCAGCAATTCCATTTCTAAGCATATCCAAGAGAAATAAAACCACATGTCCACACAAAGACTTGTGCAGGAATGTTTACAGCAACACTGTTCGTAACAGTCAAAAGGTGGAAACAGCTCAGATGCCCATCAACTGATGAAAACAAACAAAACATGGTATATCCATACAATGGAGTATTATTCAGCCATAAAGAAGAATAGAATAATTACACATGCTACACCTTGGGTGAGCCTTGAAAACATTATGCTAAGTGAAAAAAAGCCAGTCACAAAACACCACATATTATGATTCCATTCACAGGAAAGTCCAGAATAGGGAGCTGTATAGAGACAGAAAGTAGATTAGTGGTTGCCTAGGGCTGAAGTGGGGACAGGAGGATACGAGGAAGATGGCTAAAGATTACAAGGTTTACTTTTGAGACAATGAAACTGTTCTAAAATTGACGGTGGTGATGGCGGCACACATCTGTGAATGTACTAAAAACCACTGAATTGTACACTTTAAATGGGTGAATTGTATGGTATGTGAATTATACTCAATAAAGCTCTTCTCAAAATAAGTACTCAAAGAATGATGGAGACATGTCAAAAGAGTATAGAAGCCAGCTGGAAAGGACTTTCATTGGCTGGATGTGGTTCTTTTGAGCACCAAAATAATTAACGATATGAATAGATTCTTACTTATTGAATAAAATGGGAATCCATGACTCCATACTGGCATAAATAAATGAATACATGGGACGTCTGTTGAGGAATGAGATATTTACACATTCTCAAAGTACTTTCCTACAAAATATTTATCAATTGTAAAGGGAAAAGGGTAACTTTACAGTGGAGAAAGCTGGCAGACACCAACTTAATCAAGTATTCAAGTGAACATCACAGTAATGGGACAAATGACAATCATGCACTACCCAATAGGGTGCAATGGGAGAGAGACGTAGTATCATTTCTGCGACATTCCTACATGAAATGCTCAAGCTGAATTTAATCATGAGGAAACATTGGACAAGTCCAAGTTAAGAGACGGTCTATGAAACAATGGGGACCTATAATCTACAAGAGTGTCGTCAAAGTTAAGGAGGGACTGAAACACCATTCCAAATTGAAGGAAACTAGAAATATCTAAGAACCACGTGTAACATGTGATTCTGTCCCTGATCCTTTTGCTACAAGGACATTATTGGGATCACTGGTGAAACGTGAATGGGAGGTGTGGGTTGGATGGTAGTAATGTTCCAGTGTAAATTTCCTGACTTTGATGATGGCATTGTGGTTATCCAGGAGAATGTCCTTCTTCATAGGAATCACACACTGAAGTGTTTGGGAGATGGTGGCAACTTACTCCCAGATGAGTCAGGGAAATAGTTTTTTGTACTATATTAAGGACCATTCTATAAGTTTGAGATTGCTTCAAATTAAATAAAATTAATTATCATGTATGTGAAGAAACTGGACTAATGCCTGAAATCTAAGAGAAAAACAGATCATAGAAAATACAACCTCACAGGAGATCCAGATGTTGGAGTTATCAGTCACAGTTTGTTGTTGTTGTTGTTGTTTTTCAATTCTGAGCTCAGATCAAATGTAGAAGCCTTCACAGTTATAAAGGTCGGTAGTAAATCCTTTTCATCATTGCTCAGAACTGATTAGCCTCTTATATACACACATTCCACCCCCAATTCTCATTCAACCATCAGCAAGTCCTCAGTTTTCCACTGTCATCTTTACAAACACACACACCCCCACAGACATAAGCCTTATTGTTTTAAATTACTTTATATATTTGCTTCTCAGAACTCCAGAGATCATGTATTAGGTAGACTGGAAGGTCTTCTTCTTTTTTTTTTTTTTTTAAGATTTTATTTATTTATTTGAGAGAGAGAGCACATGAGACGGGGGGAGGGTCAGAGGGAGAAGCAGACTCCCTGCTGAGCAGGGAGCCTGATGCGGGACTCGATCCCGGGACTCCAGGATTATGACCTGAGCCAAAGGCAGTCGCTCAACCAACTGAGCCACCCAGGCGCCCTGGAAGGTCTTCTGATGCTCAAATTTGGCTATTTTCATACGACACATTTTTAAAATAAGATTATACTATGTAACAAAATGGATAAAAAGCTGTAGGGTTTCATAAAAGAAATGGGATTAATGAACAATAAAGAATCAAATGGAATTCTAGAATGGAAAAGATACAATAACTAAAATTAAGAATTTATTACACAGATCTAAAGGCATTGTAGATGGAGCAAAAGAGAGAATTGGTGAGCTGGAAGAGAGTTCAGTAGGAAATACCTAGATTGAAGCACAGACAGAAAATAAAAAAGACGGAGAACACAGAAAATAACACTAATGTTACATGCAACACAATAAAAGTTCTAACATATGTTTCTGGAGTACCCAAAAAGGAGAAGAGAGAGATAATGGGGTAGAAATAATATTACTGGCCAAAATATACTAGCCAAAAATACTCTATACTTGACATAAGAATCAAACTAAATAAGGTAATTACAAAGAAACCATACTCAGGCACATTTGTAGCTAACTTGCTAAAAATTAAAAACAGAGATAAATTTTAAGAGGCACATTACTTCAAGGAAGCAACCCTAAGACTGACAAATTGAAGAGATGAAACATACACAATCTAAATGTGTTTTGAATATAGTTTGAACAGATGGGATTAACAGCATATTAGACATTGCAGAAGAAGAGATTGGTAGACTTGGAGCCATATGATGACATATCAGTGGAATGTTTCTGAAAGGAAGCACAGAGAGAAAAAAAAGAAGCACACGGAAAACATAAGAGAACCAGTGACCTATGAGAGGCTATCAAGTGCTCTAACATACTTATAGTGGAAGTGCTGAAAGAGAGGGGAAAATGGAAAAATAGTGACCCCAAATTTTCCAAATCTGACAAAAACTAGAAACAAAGATCCAAGAATCTCAGCACTCACCACAAAATGATAGTGAGGTCCATTATAATCAAGTAGCTGAAAGTCTGTGATAATGAGAAAATCTTAAAAGAAACAAGAGCGGAAAAAGACATTACATACAGAGATAAAATTATCACAGCCTTATTGTCAGAGACTACACAAGCCAGAAGACAATAGACTATAATTTTTTAAGTTGTGAGTAAAAAAGGTAGTATCAACCTAAATCTCTAAGCTTAGTGAAAATATCTTAAAAAGGAAGGTGAAATAAAAACTTTTCCACACACACACAAAAGTGAAGGAATTTATCATTAGTCTGCCTGCACTATAACAAAGTTTTATAGGCAGAAGGAACAGGATGCCAGATGGAAATTTGGATCTACACAAAGGAATAAATAGAATCTGAAATGGAAAATATGTGGTTAAATATAAAATATATTTTTCACACTTAAAAATTTGTTTAATAGACAACTGACTTTAAAAAAAGAGTAAAATGTATTATAGCATTTATAACGTGTAGAAATGAAATGTATAACAACAATGACACAAAGTATTAGAGGGGAAAATGGGACTATACTATTTTAAGTTTCTAACTTTTACACGACGTGATATAATGTTATTTGAAGGAAAACTGTTACAAGTTAAAGATCCATATTATAAACCTTAGATCAAGTGTTGGCAAAATTTTCCTGTAAAGGGCCAAATAGTGAATATCTTAGACATCAGAGGCTATACAATCTCTGTTACAACTAATCAACTCTATTGTTGTCATAGAAAAGCAGCCATAGACAATATGTAAATGAGTGAGCAGAGTTGCGTTCCAATAAAACTTTATTTGTGGACTCTGAAATCTGAATTTCAAACAATTTTCATATATCATAAAATATTATTCTTCTTTTGAATTTTTCAACCTTTGAAAAATGTAAAAAAACTATTCTTAACAAATTGCCCAGGCAGAAGAACCCCAGATAATTTATGTAGATACTCTGTTCTCAAGGTGATCATAACTCTCCACTCCTTACATGTGGGCTGGGCATGGTGACTTCCCTCCAAACAGTACAATATGGAAAGGGATAAAAGGGTAATGTTAGAGAATCCTGACAAACACTACCTCAGCCAGATGATCAAGATGCATCTAAACAGTGGTAAGTCATGTTGATAGTATGTACTATTGATGTGATGTAATTAAATGACACTTCAGGGGCGCCTGGGTGGCTCAGTTGGTTAAGCGACTGCCTTCGGCTCAGGTCATGATCCTGGAGTCCTAGGATCGAGTCCCACATCAGGCTGCCTGCTTAGCAGGGAGCCTGCTTCTCCCTCTGACCCTCCCTCCTCTTGTGCTCTCTCTCTCATTCTCTCTCTCTCAAATAAATAAATAAAATCTCTAAAAATAAATAAATAAAATGACACTTCACCTGTGTGGTCTTCCTTAAAAAAACCACAACCCTAGTCAAAGCATGAGAAAAACATCAGACAAATCCAAATAAAAGAATATTATACAGGGGCACCTGGGTGGCTCAGTCGTTGAGCGTCTGCCTTTGGCTCGGGTCATGATCCCGGGGTCCTGGGATGGAACCCCGCATCGGTCTCCCTGCTCCAAGCAGGTAGCCTGCTTCTCCCTCTCCCACTCCCCCTGCTTGTGTTCCCTCTCTTGCTGTGTCTCTCTTTGTCAAATAAATAAATAAAAATCTAAAAAAAAAAAAGAGTATTATACAAAATATCTGACCAGTACTCTTCAATATTGTCCAACTTATAAAAAAATGAATGAATGAAAAAGAAAAGAGAGAAAGAATGAAGAGAAAAAAAAAAAAACGAAAGTCTGAGAAACTGTTACCGCCCAGAGGAGCCTGAGAAAACATGATGATTAAATGTAGCGTGGCATCCTGGATTGGATTCTGGACTGACAGAAGGACATTAGATAAAAACTAAGGAAATCTCCCAAGTAATCACTGATGGATGAGTGGGTAACAAAATGTAGAATATAGATACAATGGGATATTAATCAAGCTTAAAAAGGAAGGAAATTCAGACACAGTTACAACATGGATGAACCTGGAGGACATTAGGCTAAGTGAAATAAACTGGTCATGAAAAGATAGATACTATGTGGTTCCACTTATATAAGGTATCTAGAGTAGTCAAATTCATAAACATAGAAAGCAAAATGGTGATTGCTAGGGGATGGAAGAGGGATAAATGGGGAGATGTTGTTTAATGGGTATAGAGTTTCAGTTTTGCAAGATGAAAAGACTTCTGGAGATTTGTTGCACAATGATGTGAATATACTTAGCACTACTGAACACTTAAAAATGGCTAACATGGTAAATTTTCTTTTGTGTATTTTATTACAATTTTTTTTAGGTTTTATTATTTATTTATTTATTTTAGAGAGAGAAAGAGAGAGTGTACAAGCAGGGGGAGGAGCAGAGGGAGATGGAGAGAGAGAATCCCAAGTAGACTCTGCACTGAGTGTGGAGCCCGATGTGGGGCTCAATCCCACAACTCAGAGATCATGACCTGAGCAAAATCAAGAGTCAGACACTTAACCAACGGAGTCACCCAGGCGCCCCTTATTTTATCACAGTTTTTAAAAACTAAGAAAATCTGGGGCGCCTGGGTGGCTCAGTTGGTTAAGCGACTGCCTTCGGCTCAGGTCATGATCCCGGAGTCCCGGGATCGAGTCCCACATCAGGCTCCCTGCTCGGCGGGGAGTCTGCTTCTCCCTCTAACCCTACCCCCTCTTGCGCTCTCTCTCTCACTCTCTCTCTCTCTCAAAGAAATAAATAAAATCTTTAAAAAAAATAAATAAATAAAAAAAAATAAAAATAAAAATAAAAACTAAGAAAATCTGAATAAAGCATGGACCTTAGTTAATAATAATGTATCAGTACTGGTTCATTAATTGTAACAAATGGACCATACTATAACATAAGATGCTAATAATAGAGGAGACTGAACACAGGATATATGGAAACTCCATACTTTCTTCACAATTTTCTATACATCTACAACTGTTCTAAAAAATAAAGTTTGTTATTAAAAAGAATTATTTCATGGGCCATAAAAAACAGTCCATGGGCCATATGCTCCCTTTGCCCTGAAACAACCACTAAAAATATTTAAAATATAGATACTTGTAAAGGCATTTGTAAAGATCAAAAGAATATTTTTAAATAATCAATTAATTTTTAAAAAGGCAAGAAAAGAAGAGAAAAGAAATAAAGAATACATGGGACTCAAAACAAATAACAATGGATGGAACTGGAGGGGATTATGCTAAGTGAAATAAGTCGGTCAGAGAAAGACAATTATCATATGATCTCACTCCTATGTGGAATTTAAGAAACAAAACAGGGGATCATAAGGGAAGGGAGGGAAAAATAAAATAGGATGAACTCAGAGAGGGAGACAAACCATAAGAGACTCTTAACTATAGGAAACAAATGGAGGGTTACTGGAGGGGAGGTGGATGGGGAGATGGGCTAACTGGGTGATGGGCATTAAGGGGGTCATGTGATGTAATGAGCACTGGGTGTTATATGCAACTGATGAATCACTGAACTCTACCTCTGAAACTAATAATGCACTATATATTAATTAATTGAATTTAAATAAAATTTTTAAAAAAGAAAAAATATAACAAGATGGTAGATTTAGACCCAACCATACTGATCATTACATCACAGTAAATGATCTAAATACTCCAAGACAGATTATCAGATTGGATCTTTAAAAATCAAGCCCCAACTATATGCTATCTTTAAGACGTAAGACTGACATCTAATATTTCCGTAGAAATGATGGAAATGAGAAAACAATGAAATGACATATTTGAAGCACTGCAAAATAACTGGCAAACAAGTGAAAATATCTTTAAAAGATAAAGATGATTCCCATCTGGCATGTGAGAAGCTTGGAAGTCATAATCCCATC